GCAAATCCTGCTCGGTGGAAACAGGCCTTTTACCCCGTAAGCTGCAGAATCTGTTGCAGGAGAAGGAGCCTAATTGCTTGTTAATGATAAACCGTAATGATCAGGGGAAGTCAGAAGGCAGATTGCAAGCACTTGCAAATTCTTACATCATCTCCTGGGTTGCAGAAAATCATATCCATTCTATGAGTATATCAGCTACTTTGGGCAAAGTAGTGAACATCAGCATTAAAATTACCAGTCAGTTTTACTCCCCTGCTCTGTAGACAATGTGGTGATTTCAGAAGAAAAACGAAACTTAGGTGAGGAACTTCAGTGTTTCTAATGCGGCAGACAGAATTGTATTCTGGAAAAGAGATAGTGCAGGAGGAGGGACAAGGAGATGATAAGATAGAGTGCAGGTAAATACAGCAGGAGTAAATAATCATGTTGTTTAGACCGTGGCTGTCCTTTGTAGGAGGTGAAGTCTCTGCTGTGGCAGGAGGCAAAGGGGCACCCAGGGCTGCCCTCGCCCAGGGGGTCGGCCCTGGCCCTGCTAGTGCTGCCTGTTGTGTGTTTGTGATGGCCTGTCCTTGCCTGATGGGCTTTTTTCCTAGTTAGGAAGTACAGCTTCGAAGGATTCATGATTAAGTGCTTTCGACTTATGTGTGGTAATAAGGAATTCATGCCCCTGTTATGAGATGCAATATGAAATTGTCCTGGTTTTGTTAAAACACCCAAATCCTTATCTTTAGCCGCGATGGGTTTCCTCATGGGTTGCTGATCTCTCAGTTCCCTGCTAGGGTGAGGGGTGAGGCGAACACAGAGGGGTAAATAAGGATGACTGAGTCTGTAGGAATTTAGGAATAACTGCATTAAACCTGCATGGAACTTGGGAGAAGAAGGGAAGGGATGGAGAAGAGGAGAAATTAGTTCAGCTGCTCCATTTTTCATGGCATGCAAGTGGCATGCAGTGTTGCTTCAGTGACTTGAGGAAAAAGCCCGGCAGTCGTTTGTCTTTTTTGGTTTTCTCTCTGATTCTTGCTATCTGATAGCTCTTCTTTATTTGACAAGGAGAAATGGATGTAGTAATTTTACTAGATCATTAAGGTGATCATTTATGATCTGAATCACTAGATCACGAGATCTAGATCGTTAAGACCTGCTGCAAGCAGCTTCCTAGCCTAGACTGTAGAGCACAATTGCTCCTCTCCGAAACTCAGTGTCTTTAGACTTAATCCTTTCTATGCTGCCCCATAGTCTTTTGCATTCTTAGTTCCTTTTAGATCACACAAAGGATCTTTATTTGCTTCCTTCTGTATGGATCTGGTCTGAGTTTCTTAGAGGCACAGTCCACAGTTACTTATTTTTATTTATTTATTTATTTATTTAACTTTATTTGGAATGACAGGAGACTGGTGATTGGGTGTTGCAGAGGTGCCTCTGTCATGAGATTGATTTGGATCTTCTCTGATACTAGTTCTGAACACTGAGCCTGAGTAGTCATCCTCCCAGTGCTTACCCTAAGGGTCTGTTTACCTTAATAGGCTTTTGGGAAGTAAAGGGAAAAAAGCAATCAAATAAACAAAAAAACTACCAAACCCACACCCCATATCCGAGGCAAAATTTTTTAACAGCTGGTGTTTTGGTTACTGAATTACCCAGCTTATTTCCCACAATTTAAAGTTACAAATTCAGTCAAAGCCAGGTGAAAGATTCATTTTTGTAAAGCAAGGAAAACCTCCTGTAGGAAAGGGACGCTTTCTGTCCAGTGTGCTGTGTCCACATCACACTTGCAGTCGTAGGAGTAAATTTCAGGCAAGACAGTTGGATATATTTGCAATACCTTCCTCTGCTGTTTTTTTTTTTTTTCCTCTAATCAAGAATTCATTATGCTTTGGTTGAAATTAGCCAATAGATTTTGCAGGAGCTAAGGTCTGGAGGAAGTTTGAATGACTTTGGGAGCAGGAGAGAGGAGGAAGCTGGAGTGTTATGACTGAACAGCCATACTGTCACGGCCTATATCTACATCTGAACTGTGTTGAATGAGGTAAAAAAAAGCTGCATCTGGGCTGCAGAAATGCCAAATACCAGCTGGTGGCTTCCTCTTCATGCTGTTGCTATGTGGTGGGTATCGTGCTCCCTTCATATGTCCTGCGAAAATTGCTACCAAGGATTCTCCAAGCGTGGCCTTTCCGGGTGCGCATGGGGACCAGCGGTGGGTTTGGGAGCGATCTCTTAGCTGCCACTAAGACTCAGCTGTCCGAGGGCTTTTCCCCTGGTGTGAGTGTTGCGGCAGACCCTCGTGCAAGTGCGGGAGCTCAGCACACAGACCCACGTCGTGGCTGGTGCAGCGTGCTCGCGTCCAGCTGTGACAGCACCAAAACGCGTGTGGCTCCTCCCTGACCACCGAACCACTGCTCTAACGGGGTGTGAGGAGAGGGAAAACTGCATGGCTCCTCTATCCATGCAGAGAGAAGGGGAAATGACCGTGGGGTGATTAGTGAGGTGATTAGCCGTGTGCTTGAGATAAGGACTGTGGCTTGAGGTCTCCCCTGCTGCAGCTTTGAAGGGGGCAAGCACATCCTCCTGTGTCTCTGGCTGCAGGAGAAAAGTTACCTCTGCAAAGACCATAAGCAATTGTGAGATCCAGGAACTTTGCATCTGGCAGTATCTCTTGGCAGCAGGTGGCAATTAACAGCCTGTAAGAGCAATTTATACCTTGCCATACATAATTTTGTTTGTTTTTTGAAATGGGCTTTTGAAGAAATGCTTACCTACTGAACTAGTCCTTTATGTTGTACTAAGATCTGAGAAGCCTTGTATACTGAACATGAGCATCAGACATACTTTACTGCATCCAGGTCTCTTCCTCCATATATTAGCACTCCTCTGTATTTCCTTTCTTATATCATGATCCTCAGTTTAGCCGTTCTGGACTAAGTTGTCTGTTAGGCACTACTCTAAATAACACAGGCCCATCAGTACAGTTGTTTGCGGTGTTCCATGTTGGGAAAGTGGAAACTTCTAAGTTTACTGCACCCTGTGCAGCAATACTGCATCTTTGGAATAAATGTGAATAATTCTGATGTGTATGGGGGAAAAAAAAAAAAAAGAAACATGGAGTATGTTACAGATAGCAATTGGGCTATCATTTCAAAATCTCCTTTAAAATCACTCTAAATATGCCTCCCTATACAATCACGAAGATGTGAAATTCTCTGTTAATTCAGCAACTGCTTGTAAAAAGAAAGTCATGTAAGTTATGTTTGTATATATATTAACCACCTTCTAATACACCTCAGTGTGAGCTCACATGATTGGGATAAGGATTCAGCCCTTGCTCCTGGTTCCGCTGTGGGGCAGGGGCCTGGTCTGCACGTGGACCAAACAGGAGCCGTTGCTCTTGTGCTGACTCTTCATGTGGGGACTCCTGGGCACGGGCAGAGCTCGCGGGCGAAGGGGCGGCCTCATTCCTGCCCTGAGGCCTTGCAGACCCTCCTGAGCTGGTTGGTGCCTTGATAAGTTGGACTTGACGTGCGGGGTCATCCTGGAGGGATGTCCTAGCCGTGTTCTCGAAGGGCGTGCGCTTCTGATACAGGCGGTAACAGGAACCACATTAGAAAGTCTTAGAAAAATGAGACCTGACAGGGCTGTGCGCCAGTGCTGTATCCATTCTGCCATCTGCTACCGCCGTCTCCCGCAAAGTCATAGGCTGCGTTAGCCATGTGGCTTCACCTGAACCTTCGGAAGAAAATAATCTGTTTAAAAAACGAGTTCTAGGCCAGACTGCTCCATAGCTCTTGTGAGGGCCATGCCTAAAAAGGAGAACGTTGTTATGTGTTTGTATGCTCATGCCTTGAATGTTCCTCATGATGTGTTGGGTGAATAAAATATGAGGAATAATAAAGATAGAAAAGATAGATAAATAAAAATATGAAAAGTCTAACTGTTGGATTACTAGCAGGAGAGTGAAGCTGAGAGGGACACAAAGGAATGCCCTACATACAGCTTTCCTGTGCAGACATTCATACAAAACCAAGCTAGAAGAGACATGAATCTGTGGTGAAAAGGCTAATACAATGACAGGCAACCAGAATTTAAGGTTACAGGGTGTGGCGTTTTGCACATGGAGAAATTTTGCTCAGAAGAGCAAAATTACTGAAAAGCTGTTTAAAATTGGGTTGCTTGTATTTTGTGATAGGCTTTTCTGTAAGGTAAGGAAGAGTTCTCTGTAAATTCAATGCCAGTCCTTGTAGACACGTGGTGACGTGTAGTTAGAAATTACAAAAACTCCTGAAGCTCAAATGTGTGCCTCAGTGGCCTAAAGTTCAGGTCTCTCGTGACTACCATACCTTGGTGTGAAATGGAAATGCCATTTTGCTGTTTTTTAATGATTTTCCCCACCGTAATGGAAGTAAGGGAGAACACATCTTTCTGCTCCTCTGTCGTGTGCTTTGTTTCTGTTGATGAGGTTTTAAAGAATAAAGGATGATACAGTACTATGGTTAAACGTGCTAGCATGACAGTTAAGAAATTCAGGTGTAGATTTTTTTTTTCCTTTGCATTTATAGTGCAACTGGAGAAACCCTGAGGTGTAATCTAGTTTTCCCATGTGTAAAATGGAAAGTGATATTTTATTAAAAGTGCAGCTTTGTTTCTCCAGTTTAGGCCTGCATAGTGTAAGTATCTAGACAGAAATGACAGCACTGTGCAGATGGATCACCACAGGGAGGTACTAGTGTGATATCAAAGGCTAGCTGTAGAAAATGTGCCATAAAAATGAAGAGATATAGACCGGACTATGTAACTGTTGCTTGTGATGCTGTTCATTCTGGGTAAGGGTTGAATAATCTTAAAGGAGTAGGAAATAAAAGTAAACATTTTGTGTCTTTTATACCAGCATGGGCAGAGGTTTGCGAAAGCTTTATTCATGTTTGAAAACATACGTTCAATCTCATAAATAATTTAACAGAAGATTATTCTCTTATACGTGTTTTACTTTCTTTAAGCAGCGCTGAAAGTGAACCACAATGGCTGCTGTCATCTCAGACAGTCCTCCAAATCCAAGCTGCAAAATTATGACTTTCAGGCCCTCAATGGAGGAATTCAGGGAGTTCAACAGATACTTGGCATACATGGAGTCACAAGGTGCTCATAGGGCTGGAGTTGCAAAGGTAAGCGTCTTCTGTGCAGAAGCAAATTTGTTCCTCACAGTGATTTTCTTATATATATATTTTTTTTAATATTGACCACAAAACTGACATTTTTGGAATTCAGCATTTTTGCAATGATTTTCCAATAAATAGAGGTTGGTTTTTCCTTTTAAGGAAGGAATTTCGTGTTTCATGTAAACTAGTGAAGGTAGAGGATACTTTTCTCTCTGACCTTCAGTTGCTTCCATCTTTGCAACAGCAAAATGTAATGCTGCCTTAAAATAGTTTTTGGCAATGCAGTACAAGATAGAATTCATTATATAAATCAAAAGATCTTGATCTGTCAGAGATTGACTTATTTTTTAGAGCTCTTTAGGGTTGTGCTTAACTTTAATAAAACATGCAATCCCTCTACATTCAGTGAGATGCATTTAGTACCCCTCTGCCTTAAATTGAAAGGAAATTATTTATTTTCTACTGGTAATTGTGTCACCTTTTTGTTAATTAGATCAAGGCACATCAGCAACCATTGCATTACCCTATAATTATTGATATGCTCAGGATCTTAGAGCAGGTATTCACTCCCTAATGGAAAGTGATTGTCATATTTAAGAGTCCAATCTAATTTAGTGTAACATCATATAAGTATTTATGCCTTTGATCTATTTTGTTACTTCTAAAGCCAACAATGCAGTGCACATCTCATGATTCCAGGTGAATCATTTTAAGTAGTCAGTGAGAACAGGTCTTCTTTGTTAGGATTTCAAGCTAATATTGCATATGCAAGGCATTTAAAAAATGAGAGAGGTGAAACAAGTACTGCAACTCCTTTTTATCCACCTTCCCCCCATACTTACTATAGAAAAAAGCAAAAGTGAAGCCTCTCATATTTTCAAAGCCTTGTGGTTTCTTTATTTGTTTCCTGAGGATAGAATGAGTATAGATCATATTTTCAAACTCCTCTCTATAAACATGGGGGCTACAGATGAGATAGCAGACAAAACAGGAAATGGGAAAAACAGAGCTTTTGATATACTTGGGTATATTATTGAAGCTATTTGTTTAAGGGGGCCTAAAAAATTAATCCTGCTTGTCTTATACAGTAAGAGTAACACAGGGAGTTCATTGTGACATCTATTCTTATGATGCTTAATAAATTTCCCCCAATGATAATTACGTGAGCAGGAGATTCAAACTATTATTTTGTGGATTGTACACATGCATTGTAACATAAAAAAAAAATCCTTAACTTTATAGAAATACTGTTTAAATAGTTTTATTTGAACTGATGCTAGTGTTCAATGCAATTTCATTCAATCTAGCTAAATAAATGGAAACTGTTTATGAGCGTCCATTATAATGTTACTGGTTTTCATCTATTTCAGTTTCTTTATTCAGCTCCTTCAGTTTCTTATACTGTGTATTTATTGATCATGGCTTGTTTTCTGTGGTATGTTGTCTATGGAACAAAGACAAGCGTGCATCAGCTGGTCCCTTGCTTCCCCCTGGCTAGATGAGGAGGGTTTTATATGAACCAACATTTGTTTTTAGCACTTTTGGAGAAAACAAGGGATGAAATACTAATTAAAAGAATAACTATGAGATGCCCTTTTTTCACAGGTTCTGTCTTTTATAGCCTTTTCATTAGGCAGATCATATTGGAAAAAAGAAGTTTCTTAATTTGAAAAATTACTTTTATATATATATATATATATATTTGCCTTTAAATGGATAAAAGCACACCTGTTGTTTCTTTTACTTTTTTAATATATCACAGGAGATGCATTATCTGATACGATACTGTATCCTTAAAAAAGCTATGCAGACCTATGTTTCTTTTTCACAGAGCTATTCATAATAAATAAAAGCTTCAGTTGTTCCTCTGTCATTTTATGAACATTCTGTTCTGATCTGTCGGGACTGAAAAAGCTGGGAAATCAGCGCAGTGACTTCGTGATACATTCTGCTAAGTGCTCCCAGGTTAACCGTGGACCTAAAATATGTCTAGAATCGACTCCAGTGCACTAGGCCATTTGTGTATATGAACTATAGGGTCCCTGGAGAAGTAGTGTGACTTGACGTTCTTGATAGCAAAATTTTGGCCGGTAGGAAGTGAAGAAAGTTATTCGATCATATTGGAATAATGGAAAGGTGGTACACATTCTTCAGACGCACTTTGTCAAGCCATGAATATGACTTCAGTTATTTTCTGATAAAAAACCTTACCTGTTTTTCAGTTCTTTCTTTCCCGTCATCTGGCAGTTAAAGCTCCAAGTGTGAGTATTTAGGAGAAAATGGCAGAAGTTTTGACCATCAGACTGCTCTGCTGAACAACTGAGGTTGCCCTGACGCAGACTGACATAGTTACATTGGGAAAGAATGGGAAAGAATTGGAAAGAAAAGGATGTGAAACCAGTCTTGCCTTTATTGTGCCATTTCACATTTCTGTAATATTCCCTGCTGCCATCTTCATCTTCTGACCCTTTGTTGCTGCTCTCTCTCTCTGCCTGTCTCATGCGAAGCAGGCTTTAACTTTTGCGTGTATATCACATACAATTCATGAATTTGCTATGGAAATGCAAGGATCAAAGAAATATCAATACAGTTATGCTGTAATTTTAGTAGTAGTATGGGGAAGTGTATGTGTATAAGCACTTCAGAAATATCACCATTTAAAGGATTTGGATAACATATAGTATACATATCCATAGCTAATACTTTTTGATCTGTGTTAATTTTTAAATTATAGATATTTAATAATGTAATTATATGTATATACACTGGAGCACAAGTAAATGTGCTCCAGTATATATCAGAACCATTTCCTCTCCTAACAAGGTGATGCACCCCATCCTCAGTGATGAATATTTATCTGCCGCCCATTATCAAGCATGTCTCAGATTGTACAAATATATATATGTATGTATATAATGAAGAGAAACTAGAAATTAGCAGAACCTTACACATTACTCCAATATGTGATTTACACAGATTGCTACTGCTGTTATAGCTCTTGCTGTGTCATATTGTTCTTGCCAAAGTCTCTAAAACTGTGAATGCCTTTGATAGGGACAGGATTTTACTGTGTAATCAGGGTCTTGTGGTGTTTGCATAGTGTAATTGGGCTTGTTTGAAGTGAATGTCCCCACGGCTATAAGATTGAGAGTGTGCGTGCCTCCTTCTCAGGCCATACAGCCCTGGTGCAACTTCACTATGAGAGGAAAATGGTCTTTGGATGAAAGGGATATATTTAAATACCTAGGTTTTTCCTCCCAGCTCATGGATAACATTTTAGAACAGCTTGAGAAGGCTGTTCTCCATGCACAGGTTGCTTCAAATATGAAATGTGGTTGTTCCAGGAAGACAAACATTCCTGTGGTAATGCAGGCAGGGCAGATGCTTAGAGTTCGCAGAGCACCTGGAAGAGTGTCCATGATGCAAGGGAGCATAATGAAGCCTGGCAGAAGCACTTCAGTTACGTGAGCTGTGAACAAGTTGTGTGCAGCACAACTTGTGCTGGTTGTGCTGTAAATGTGGAACAACCTCTGTACCGATGTCGTGTGGGTCTGTCCACCCTATCCCTGCTTGGTACCAGCACGGAGGTTAAAGCTCTCTTGGCTGTCTCTGCCATGTGGACAGATTGTAAGATATCAAGTCTCTGCGTTATATTGGACTGTGTTCTAACTTTTTGCTGGGTTTGCTTAAATAAATCACACAAAGAACTAACTAATTCAAAACAAACAGTGTAAGGCGGTCTTTATCACAAAGTCAATAATTTGTACTTCAAGCTTATCCAGATGGTATTGTTTAGGGGAGGACATTTTCCGGGTTTTGGTAGTTGGCTATAAAGATAAGATTGAAACCATTTTAAAAGTAGTATACAATGAACTTAGAGAGGAACTAATTCGTATTAAGTTTAGAACTAAAAGTTGCATAAGCACAAATATAAAAAAGAGAATAGAGGAACACTGCAAGAGCTGTAGGCAAATGCAGAAACATTTAACCACTAAACACAAGCCATAAGCAGAGCAGGCATACAGTTTACCAGACAATTTATGTTAGATGTGGAAATGCCAGGGATAAAAACCTCTTACCTGTGCAGATGTCGCTGAGAGTTATTTAGAGAATACAAATCATGGGGGGAAAGAAATGCAGTGTGCTTGCAGGTGCTGTGTATGAACTAAGCACGCCCAGGGAAGTATGTCAAAGCTTGGAGAGCTGTAAAGTGAAGGGAAACATGTCTGTGAGTATGTGGAAACTATCAGTGGGGGAAAAGGTGACTCTGAATGCATACGCTGAAACAGGATAAATCTGCAAAAACTACATGGGTAGGAAAGCCTAGCCTGGCAGGAAAGTGGGGATGTATGGGGCATCTGTGAAGGGCAGGTGGGGGGTTTTAGCAGGGGGAGGACAACAAAACTGCAACTGAGTTAAGTCAAATTTGACTTATGTTTCGAAATTATTATAATACCACTAAGATACCCCTAAAATAATCCACAACATTAAAAGGAAAGGCATGAAGGCTGTGGCTTTCTGTTAAACTAAAAGTTTGTGAGATTACTAATAGTAAGCCTGAAACAAATGATTCATAAGTAGCTGCGTAACATTAAAGCACTTCCAGAGCAGATGATGCTCTACAGCATCCTTGGAGCAAACTGGCTGAAAATTGCCAATAGGCTTTTGAAAGCCCGGGACGAGTCCTAGGCATACGTAGTGTATTCCAGTCTCATTAATACAAAGAATTTCATGCTTAATAGGGGAAGGTGGGTGGAAGCAACACAACAAATGAAGACCCACTTGTTGGTTACTTTGTTCTTTTCTTGAATAAGAAATCCTTTCGCGATTCCGAAACTGCATTTATACAGACTAAAAGAGTGACAGGAATTTGCAGTCAAATGTAGAAAATGAATCTTGCAACATGACTCTGAAAATGGGTGTTGGCGAGTACGAGGAAAACTCTTCCAGAATATTGTGAACAGCAGCAGCTACATACAAGTAGTAGCCAGTTCCATGTGGAGTAAACTGTACAACGGGAGATCACCAATGCAGAAGGAGGAGGGCATGGTCTGACTGTGCCATCCTGCATCTAAAACTAAATTCATATATCACAGTGAAGCTAATATACTTAGGATGTGTATGTGAAAAATTACAAAACCTTGCCCTTAGGTCTTTCCTTCTTTTCTTATATTTGAACACCGAACAGCTTGACTGATGAATTTAAGCTCCTTCAATGGGATGTACCTGACTTTCCTGACTTTGAAGGTGTTATTATTTTTTTTTTATAACAGTAATGTGAAGAGGCTTCTGTGGGACAGATTCTTGGTAAATGCTCAAATACCTAGTTTTTAATTCAACTCTTAATACTGACCAACCATGTTCTGCTTTGGGCAAGACATTTTTATGTTTCCATACCTTGGCATGAACTTTGTTCGTTAGAAAATATGCAGTCTTTGGAGGAAAACATGCAGTCTTTTTAAAAAAATTATTTTATTTTAAAATAATAGCATAATAGCACCTACAATTGGCTTCCCATAACAGTACTTTAGTTCTAGCAATAAAAAGTATGCTTCAGTTAGCTGAAAGAGCGTATTTGGAGCCAATATTCATGAAAATATCTTTACTGCTTAAAAACACACTGACCTTGAGCTAAATAAAAGAACGCGAGTTTTATTTTTCTGTATTCATATATAGTTGAGCATAACCTACAAGTTTATGCTTAATAATCATGAAAATGGAAATCTTTATACATGTATTTGATTTCTATGCCTGTATTCTGAATGCATGGTTTTTCTGTTTCCAAAGCAACATTTTGTATTTTTTGCTGGTGTGCATAATTTAGCATTTCTGTGAGAGAAATAAGAGGAATCACAAGATGATTGGATATTCTTCTTTCTCTAAAATCCTGAACCCTGCTCTGCGGGCCCTGTTCAGCAGAAGTCTCACAGAAGCTGGGGAGAAAAAAAATGAAAAGTAGGAATTTCATCTATGTAGAAATGGAATAAAATAATCTATTTACATTTAAAGCCAAAAATATTAGGTGTGGAAGTATGTTACTACCCGATACCTTTTTTTTTTTAGCTTTAATGTACACTTGATTTTGTATACACTTTCGGACTATCAGTGGCGTTGGCCAGATCTCTTTCAAGGTGTAGAATATTAAGTATATTAGCATTACACTTTGGTCTATTTGTGATTTTTTCACAGAAATATCAAATAATGTCAGAATATTATTTTAAAGATAGATTTTAAAAACAGATATGATTTTAAAGATTTTTTTTTGCTTTCTCTGAGCTGCTTAAAAAACAAAATATGCAATACAAAGTCTTATGTAATCCTGAAGTCTTTGTTAGAAGAAAATTTAGCCAGTGTAGAGTAAAGGCTAGCTCTAAGATGCAAGTTAATCAAGCCTGGATTTTTGTTGTATTCTGCTTTAAAAGTTTCCAAGACAATCGTAGTGAAAAATTCCATTCATTAAAAGTGTCTGTTGCTGTTATTTAAAATTGTCACAATTTCAAAGTAGAAAATTTAGGAGCAGAAATATATGAAATTCTGAATTTTTGTTTCCCAACCAGTTCAGTACATAAAAAAAAATACTCAAAATTATGCAGCTTGTTAAAGCTGCTGTGAGCACAACTGGCTTTGACATTTCTAATGACTTTAATGATGACTCTATGCATCTGCTATGGAATTTGTGTGGAACTGGGCAGTTCTGTGATACTGAAATAAAATGTGAGTTTATAACTGATTAATACTTTCCTGTACATAGCTTTATTCTTTATTTATAAGCTTTAAATTATGTTAGTATTGAGTAAATGAGTATAGTCCCACTAGGAGATAACACTAATTTAGATAGAGATATACCATGTGAGTTATGGAGAGTAAACAGAAAACAGCTAACAGCTGTTTTCTAGTGCTTGTCCAGCGTTCATGCCGTGTTTTTTCCTCTCCCGAATTTTTAGGTTATCCCGCCGAAGGAGTGGAAACCAAGAAAGCATTATAATGATATTGAAGATCTGGTGATTCCTGCCCCAATTCAGCAGATGGTCACCGGTCAGTCGGGGCTCTTCACCCAGTACAACATTCAGAAAAAGGCAATGACGGTGAAGGAGTTCAGGCAGCTGGCCAACAGTGACAAGTGTGTATATACGGACTCGGGCTTAGAAAGACCTGTGTTTACTTGTTTCTGGCAAGCTATTTTTTTCCTTTTACTTCTCACTAGTGCTAGCTCTCTCTAAGTAGTGGGAAAACACCATACTTTTGGCTTTCATTTGGAATAGCCAATAGTCAGATAATTCTGAGATACTTGATGGTATGGATCACGTTTTTTAGGACACCGGGTGGCTTCTGAAGCAACCCAAGAGTGCAGTACTGCTTCTACTGAATCTGCATGTTCTGGGTAAGACAACATGTGTGTAAGGAAGGGGAAAAAATTGCTACAAAGGGTTGGGCAGTAGTCTAAAAAGCTTCAAGTCAATGGACATTTAAAGAAGAAGGAAGTGATAGGAGAAATTCTTTCCCAGTCCATTTGGACTAAGTAAAAAGAATAATTTCTTCTTTAACATTTCCTCAAAACTGAGTGGAAATAATTTCTGGATGGTTAAAGGATTTTGGAAAAAAAAATTGAATATAATGAACTAGAGAAAGTTCATCTTAATTTGAAGGAAAGTTTTTCCAAAGCAGAAAGAGAAATTAGGAGGAATGGGGAGAGGCTGTTACCTAGGTCAGCAAAACTACAAAAAACAATTTTTTGCTAACATGTTCATCTCTCTTCTGTGTTACTGCATGGTATAAATGTGTTTGGTCTACTTAGTTCTTTTATGTTTAGATTTTCTTCCTAGTAGCTCAAACACAGTCATGCTGGCACTGCCAATGCTCAGAGTTGCAAGGGTGGAGGAGCAAGGTTTCTTTTCTAAAGACCTAAGTTTGGACCAAAGAAATGGATCCTGAAGTGAAAGCTATTCATGGATGGCCTTTCTGCCTTTTTTTTCTGGGTTTTCGTTCCTGTATTCCCATGAGGACTTTCTGGGAGGTTTGAGTAACCTTCCCAAAGTGTGTACATATATAGAAGCATAGTTGTCTTGGGTTGCTCTAAAAGCAAAGGGGAAAAGAAAATTTTCCTTTGATGTTCCGTTTTTGTTGTAGGAGGGGAGAACCTGTGCAGTGAGAGGGATTTGGTACCAGCTGTTTGAAATATTATGCTGCTTCTCCAAAGCAAGGTGGGGGAGGTAGGGAAGGAATTTGTTTGTTCTTTGCTTAGCAGGGCTGCTGCTTGGCAGAATGGCTGTGTTTGTTTTGTTTTCAGAGCAACATGTGCTGGAATTACCTCTGTGTTTTTGCAGAGTGGGATTTGGAGAGGAAAATAACTGATACTGGCCAGTTAACAGAGAAGTGTCTCTCCCACGTGCTTCTTTCTTGCAGAAGAGCAGCATGGAGGAAGGCCTCATCCTGAGGGCTGTCAGCAGACACTGTTCAGCTGCTGGAGGTCAGAGCAGAGGTTGTGTGGAGAGGCTGCAGGCACAGAGGGTGCCAGGTAGCAGGTTACGTGCTGTGGTGAACCAGAGAGCTAGGAATTCGGTACAACTAATAGTTGCATTTCAGTGAATTTGAAATAAAAGTTATCTGTTAGGAATTCAGTTTGCAGAATCAGAAACAGTGCATTGTGAAAGTGGGTGCTGAGACCGTGCTGAACAGTTGCCGACTTCTTTTGCAGGTACTGCACCCCAAGATACATAGATTATGAAGATCTGGAGCGTAAATACTGGAAGAACTTGACTTTTGTGGCACCAATTTATGGTGCAGATATCAATGGAAGCATTTATGATGAGGTATGCATGACTTTTTATAACATTGATCTCTCTTGCCCTTTTTTAAAGGGTCCTGTACTTAAAGGTTATGTTTCTGCTTTATGCCTGAGAATCTGTCTTTTTGAAAACTTTGTGTTACTCCTTTAAGACTCCAAGCAAGGTTGAAATTAACTCTGCATCTTCAAGAGTGAGTCAATTCTATCTTTGTTAGGCTATTGACACCTAATTATAAAACTTTTCTTCCTCTCTCCCTCCCTTGCTCCTTCTCTTCCTTCCTCCCCTGATACATCCTGTCCGTATACTTGTTCTGTTGTTAGTGATGGTGTAGCTAACTTGGCTTCATCCTTCAGGGTAGGTAGAACCTTATTTCTCCCTTTCACTTAGGAAAATTATTAACTATACTACATTTTTGTACATTTTCGGAATGTCTGCAGTTTCCTGGGAATGCACTTGCAGTTTTGTGAGCCTCTGAATTAACGTAGATGAAAAAGGAAACTTCCTAAGGAAATGAATTTTGCTGGTAACTGACATAGGTCACCAGGGAGTAACAGAGACTGTTAATACAGATCTTGTTACTTGAAGAAATATGGAATGTCTTTTGGTATCGAGTTGCAGTGTAACTAACAACAGGAATTAGATACTGAAAGGATTGTTTAAGTAATGAGACTTACAGAAGAAACGGCAAAATTTCAGGAAAAGTTTGAGGTCATGCAAAATACAGGGCAAACCTTCCTGCAATCTCTCAACCCTGTGTAGAGCTCCAGAGTTACTTCATATTATCTGTTATTCTCTTTTCCGGTAGTTTTAAAAATAGCTGAATTTCCCTGTGGCAGATGGCCCTGCTAATATTTCGTATTTCTTGGCAAAAGACAAATTGCTTAATGATTCTGTCCAAAAATAAGTACAGCCGGCCAGCATGGTTTGATTTTCTTCAGTAGGTTAAGTCTTTGAGAGGCAGCAGTAGATGTCCATGAGTATTTTTGTTGTTGTTTTTAAAGGAGCAAGTTCAAATTCTTTTGTGTGTCCAAACAGCTGTATAAAAATTAGTTAGGAAATCATCAAAGATTCTGATGTGGGTTGTTTTGGTAAAGAGACACTTCAAAATAGAGAGTGGTTGGTTCGTGGAAATCAAAATGGGATATAGGATAACAGTGTTTCTTTCAGTAAGTAGAATAAGTTTTTTGCTTGTCCCCCCCTTTTTTTTTTTTTACATTAGCAGATAATATATATTATTTTAATTGTTTTCTTTGGTCTTTAAAATCTACTGAAGATGGCTTCCTGAAATTAAAATGAAGGCAGATTTTTTTGATGTGCTAACTGGTCAAAGAGAAGGGTAGAGATTTCCCTCTCATGGAACTGCACTCTCACTAGATTGGGAGGTTAAGGTAGAGTGGTCAAAGAAAGAAAAAGAAGGGAAATGATCTTAACTTGGATCTGAACTCATAAGCAATGTTAGATGATTAGGATAAGGAAACAAAATATTGAAAGGTGTAGGCAGAAGGGAATAAAGTAGTGGGGAAGCAAGAAGTTGCACGGCTTATAGTAGAGCAAAAGGACCAGACGATTATGATCAAATCGGTGTGATATAAAAATAAATGGGTAACAAAGGAGAAATGTGAGCGAAGG